CAACATTTTTCTCTTAATTCTCATGAAGTTTTGGAATCTGAAGCTATTAACTTTGATTGTTATTACTTTGAAAGTTAATAGCTTCAGATTCCCAAAATCTTCCAAAACCTCATGGGAATTAAGAGAAAGATGTTGATCTGAGATCAGGATTCACTTCATGTGTGAAAAGGCCTTCATTTCTAGTCACCTGATAATTGATTTGCTTGTTAAGTTTATATCTGCATTTCCTCTAGGAGGTCAAGATAGTTTACATGGTATCTCCCTTCATTTTTATCTTTTTGTCTCCCTTCATTTTTATCTCTATAAGAGCAACCCTATAAGAAAGGTTGGGTTGAGAAACAGTGAGAGGCCAAAAGTGAGCTTCTATTGCAGAAGGTAGATCTCCTCAGTCCTAAACTAATGTCTTAACAGCTACACCACCTAACTTTGGGCTCAGCTTCTGCTCCAGAGAAAATGTTATGATGCTTTCTCTGAACCTGTGGAGCAATTATTGCAAATGTACTGTCATTTTCATTAGATTGTCACTGATTGTAGAGCTTGGGTGAGATTGTAGAGCTTGGGTGACTAGATCTAGCTCTGAAAAACACTTGCTTATGATCACAAGATAAACAGATAAAGATGATGACTATGATGAAAGATAATGCAACTGATTTTTTTTTATTTTAAAAAAATCACAAATATACATATATGGATAAAAACACAAGAAAAGCAAATCACATAATCAAACAATATTTCCTTAATATTCTTCCTATCTGTTAATATATTTGGTTGGCATAAAATAGTCATGATTCCCCTGATTTACATAAATCATGTAATCTGGCTATTTATTATATAATCTGGCCATTTATTAGAGAAGGCTTTAACTTTAACTTGACCAGAACAATACTGAAGGATGTAGGCCAACTTCTCTGCTATGACAATATGCTTGTCAGGTTCAGCCCAAGAACAACAGTGAGACAGTCCAGAACAGTTTAGCTCCTTTATTAGCTTACACATAATAAACAGAATCTCACCAGACTAAATCTATACCACAACAACAGTAACTATAACCAGGAGGCCCTAGGGAGGTGCCAGTCTCATTCTCTTGGCTTTCCCACAGTCCAGCTCGGAACTGAGGAGGTGATTCCCCTGGAATGTGTCTCCCCCCTCCTGGCAAACTTGAAGCTCCATTCCAGAACCTTCCCCACTCATGCCTTCCATCACATCACCCCCCTCTTCAGAATCAAACTCCCCCTCTGAGTTCTCATGGGAGCTGGGCAGCGGCGATAGAGATGAAAGCTCAGGTGTTGAGCTCCTGTCTGTGTTCCCTGGCGCCTCTCCCAGCTCAGGTGATTGGCTCTGCAAAACAGCTACAGCATTAGTAGAATCAGCCCCCCTCCCACCCAGGAAATGCAATCTTGAAGTTGAAGGCTGCGGACTCTGCGTGCCAGCCCTTTCCGATCCCAAGGCCCCCACCAAACCTTCCTCGAGTGCGCTGTCAATGCCCTCCGCTTGCTGTTTAACCTCTGGGGCACTGGGCAGCTTGTGAGGCTTCGGCTTGCCAGGGAAACGATGATGGAAGTCATGGACCAACTCTGGGGCATGCACATTCTTCGCATTCACTTGTTGATGCTTTAGTAAGGCCGCTGCCAAATGCTGAGGTGTCAAAGGAACTCCCTGGGGATCCATTGCCATGCTTAAAAATTCCCCCCTCTTGATGGGAGTAGGAGTCTGGCGAGATTGATGTCAGGTTCAGCCCCAGAACAACAGCAAGACAGTCCAGAACAGTTTAGCTCTTTTATTAGCTTACACCTAATAGACAGAATCTCGCCAGACTAAACCTATACAACAACAGTAACTATAACCATGAGGCCCCTAGGGAGGGGCCAGTCTCATTCTCTTGGCTTTCCCACACTCCAGCTGGGGACTGAGAAGAAGGTGCTTCCCCTGGAATGTCTCTCCCCTCTCCTGGCAACCTTGAAGCTCCATTCCAGAACCTTCCCACTCATGCCTTCCATCACAATGCTAGACCTTC